TGAAATTTAATTGATATTTACTTGATATCACTTACTATCTACTAAGATTTACTCAATACTAACTAATACTTGATACGTATTTAATATTAACTAATATTCACCTAATATTTACGTAACATTCACTTGATATCTACCTAATATTTACCTGATATTCACCTAATATTTACCTAATATTTACTTAATATTCACTCAAAATTTACCTAATAATATTAACCTAGTATCTTCTAATCAGCTAATATTTATCTTATATTTTTCTAATATTTACCTAATATTTACCTGATACTTACCTGATATTTGCTTAATATTTAATCAAAATTTACTGGATATGTAATCAATATTCACCTAAAATTTACTTGGCATTTACTTAGCTTAATATTAACCTGAAATATTTACCTAATATTTACTCAATATTCGCGTAACATTTACTCTTTATTTACCTAATATTTACCCAATATTTTTCAATATTTACTTGAAATTCACTTGATATTCGCTTGATATTCACTTTATATTTACTTAAAATTTACTCAACGTTCAATTCATTGGACACGGTCAAAGAAAGAACCATGCACTAGTTTGCGCACGCCCAAAAATTATGGGCATACGTACTCCTCCATAGCTAACGACGGTTGTTCGGTTGTGACCTCCACGTCAAATGTTTCGTCGTTCCCCACTGTCACTGAACTTCCGGGAAGTTACTTCCCAGAGGACTACTCTTGGGAGTAATCTATCGGACGCGACCGTCCGTTGTCTTGAGGGCATTTTCCCTCTACCTGTGCTTCGTTCCTCGAGTACGACGGCTCGTACTTTGGAGGCTCTCTCGTCGACTGTTGGTCACGAGCTAGCTTGAGGGCTCTTCGATGTGAGTTTCACTTCTTCGACGAGCCGCTCAGTTCTCCGATTGAGAACATGGCGAGGTTTGCCTCTGCGATATTCGCCTCCGATCGAGCGTGTTTATCCAGTAGGGCTCTCCTCTCTTTACTCTCACACCTAAATGCCCGCCCCCACCCCCTTAGCATCCTGCTTTGGTTCTAACGCTGAGGAACTTGCCCCTCGCACTGCTCTTCTATCTGCTCTCTCCCATATCGGTATCGACGATCCGTCAGCTTTGGTGAACTTTGCTAAAGAGAGTAGTGCTCTGCAACAAGTCGCCCAGACTGCGGCTATCCCCGAAGTCTCTTCGCTAGGGAAGGATAAACAATCTATCGCCCTTCTACATCTCAAATACGAGAGAATTCTTCGGTCGGCATTGACCGAAGCGAGTAAGCTCGTTTCTGCTGCCGGCGGAGTCGATACTACCAACTTCGCCTCTCTCTCGTCATCTCTATGGCAGCTAACCCTTCGCCTGCTCTTTGCCCCTCTCCTACTCTCCTTCGCCGACTCACAATGACCCCGGCGCCTACTGCGAATTGTACGTCACGACTACAGATTATTCG